CAGTATGCGAGGTCGTCAATACGGAGTTACCCTCGAGTACCGATCACACCTCACAAATATGCACAAGATCGCAATCACACATAGCCAATCCCCACCACCCCGACCACAACGTGCCGGCTCCACGCAGCGGCAAGCAAACACACCACCTTTGCCTGCCATTAAAATGCAGCGCAAGATGGCTTTGGGTGCCCCGGGAAGCAAGGTGAGCACTCAGGATGTTCTGTTAAGCTTCCGTTTAACATTATGGGTGTACGGACGCATTATGACTGATGTAAAGCAGATTGTATCGCACGCACCGTAGCCCTGCGACATATCGCGGTGAAAACACACATCGCTTTAATGGAATGCTAATCAGCTGGCAAACGATAATTGAAGTAATTAGGAACATGTAATGGCTGTAATGTCTCATTGCGGCTGATATGGGTGTAAAATATTGGGCAGTTCCATCAGCCACAAAGACTCTTAAGGGCACTAATCTCCTTTTCACTGCACCGAGGCTACAAACTAGGGCTTTTGTCATGTCAATTTAAAATTATATTGTGCCAATAAGTGCGTGATGGATGTCATTATCGAGGCGCGATGAATCCGTTTGTGCGGTACAATTATGTTGGCGGCCTCACGATGATGAATGAACTCTGCGCACGAATCTCCCTGCCCCGCGTGCAGTGCGTGGCCAAGTGTTAACACTTAAACCGGATGCACAGCATCACATAAATTATCGTAAAAAAATGAAAACGTAAAAAAGGTTATGGCTAATTAACTATAATTAAAATCATGTACGAAGTTGGCTTTTGTTCTCCGAATGTTTAGCTGTGCAAGTCAGGTCTGATTTAAACAATTTTGCTCTCTGAATATCCTATAAGCCTGCGGGTCATGTTATAATTGTGCTGGCCCACAAAAGCCTGTGAAACACTTGCACTCCATGAAATTAGTCCAATTAATAGATAGGCATTGAAAAGGTTACAACCCCTCGTTTTATATATGCTCGATATTACTTCCTTGTGGTTAAAGTAAGATGTTTAAATAAGTGGGATAATATCTGTGTTATTGCAACAATTCAGGACTTTTTTCCTCGCTTATGCTTCTGTGGCGATGTTCATGTCTTAGGTAATGGGTTTTCCCCTTTCATTGTAATTTTAATACATCAAATCTTTGAAATAGCCCATTGAATATGGCCTGTTGTTCTATAATGGGCATTCTCCCCTTTTGGTTGGCTATATTTACAGTCTTTAAACAATTTAGAGATTGGCTGGGAAGACACTCACGTTCGTGTTATTAAAGAGGTCATCATGGCAATGACTTTGATGCCACAACGTTATCGCCATAGCTCCCGTCCTGCTGCCAGATCTTGCAACAGACCCGCAAGGTCTGTACTTACAGCCTTATCACGACCGTCTGGCGTCAGATTTTTCATTTGGTTACCGAATTCTCTGATCCATTCCAACATTTACTCTCATCCACATGCACCCCCACCACCCATAACAAACTCCGATTGCTAATTATGCCTACAAAACATCCTTGCCACGTTCAAATGAAACTACCAAGTTTCTTATACAATCCTGGTGAATAGTTCCAAGCACCTTCAACATGCACCAGAATTTAATGGCAAGAAATTTATATCTATATTTGTATTACGTTGTTACTCCATGTATACGTACAGTGTTTGATTCTCGTTACTGCCAACAGATGTATATGTTAATTTAGTAAAATGGAATATACTGAGGGTGTGAATATGAGGGGCCGCTATATAATTTTGATCAGAATGTGTCAACAAAAGCGTTGTTTGACTAAAATCAGGATGTATATGTTATGCACAATATATCATCACTGACGTAGCGTGGTGCAGGTCACGAAATGGAGCCCGTTCTCAGCCTTCCCCCTCTTTGTAGGCTGGTGTCTGGGGCTCTCCAACCACTGGACTCTGGTTGCAGTTGCACTGCTTGCACAGTCGGTACCTTTTCAGATGTTACACATCGCTAAATGCTTCTTCGAATAGCATCATCAAAAGAATTGATCCGCTGTCAGAGCCGTCCCTAGGGTAACGGCGAATCGGGGTAATCGCTCTGGGCCCCGTGCTTTGGGGGGGGGAGGGTGGGGCACGCTTCGACGTCACGGTGTCAAGTTTTGTAATATTTCTGGTTTAGTTTTAAGGCATCGGGGGGCCCACACGGTGGGATTATCCCCAGGACCCGCACCCTTATGGACGCCACTGTCCACTGTTGGATGAAGGCCCTCCCCGCACCGTCACCTAACCCTTGCTTCTTGACGTTACTGTAGTCACATACATTGGCGGCTCTTGATATATTGAGGGTTTTTTTTTTTACTTTTTATGCCGAATTCGCAAAAGAAAACCCGATAGCACTTCTTGTTATTTGGTTTGTCGACTCCTGCCCTAGAGGAAATATTTTCCGGAGCTCAGGCCCGGACAGCCTCCGGTTTACATACCTGTCAACCCCTTATCAGTGTCCTACCTTATTACAGACCAATTCAGACCTTATTGGTCACGCCGTACCCTTATACATATCAACGTTCATCCTACAAAGTCCCATCGCAAGGGAGAAACGCAAACAAATAGGCAAAAACACATTTTTGCCAGTTTTGAAACGGCTGTACGCTGTATGGACTTGAAAACTCAATTTCCCTGCACAAAGATATGGGGTAAACCGTATGGATCGACAGCTATAGAGTGACCCCTCCCTACCCCACTTGTGACGTACAGGCAACGCGTCGCTCCCCCCAGACAAGCGACACGTGTGCATAGCGCGCGCGAGCTCCCGCCCACGTGACGAGCCCCCGGCGGTGACGTCACAACACATGGTATGCTGCTGTTGCTGCGTTAGCAAGAAAACATATAAACATATACTGGGCGACATTTCGGGAAATGGCCCTTCTGCCATAGCACATAAACAGAGAGGCCAGAGAGACAGGATGTGTGTGTGTGGGGGGGGATAAGGCATTGGGGACTGCACTCTACAATACGGGTAATCTTGTTTATTCTGACGTCATCGCAAGAGCAAAGCAATCGAAAATCCATAATAGAGGGGGGGTTTTTTTGGGGGGGTTAGATCGCGTAAATATTAATTATGTCGTCAAACCCGCCACCACCCGATTAATAAGGGTTGTCACGTACATGAAACGTGCCAATTCGTTACTGGCACAGTGCATCGGTGCGTTGGAGAGTAACATACCTGTCAACCCCTTATCAGTGCCCTACATTATTACAGGCCAATTCAGACCTTATTGGTCACCCCGTGCCCCTTATAAATCTCAACGTTCATCCTACAAAGTCCCATCGCAAGGGAGAAACACAAACAAATGAGACATTGTTTTTGTTTCCCGTATTGAAACGGCTGTACGCATGTACGGACCTGAAATACTCAATTTCCCCTGGACAAGAATACGAGATAAACCGTATGGGTTTACAGCGACGGGAGTAAAAACCCACCGCGGCATTTACAATGTTGGGGAAGGTCGCCTCTCGCGATATCGCCAAGAGCAATAAATCGACGACCAATACCACGGAGTATGTGCCAGGCCAGGTGCACTTTGAAGCCATCACATGAAGTGTCAAAGGCTCGCTGCCAGGAGGTTTCGGGGCACACCCTTGATACGGTCGGTCGACTGAGATGATCGGTAGATGCACCACCGAGCCCCCCACTTTGCAAACTTGCTTTATTTTAACCGCCCCGGCGCTCCCGCTCGTTGTTGTGAGCGTCGCACCTCTGCCCTTCGTCGTTGCTGGAGGGCGACTGCCTCCAACTGCCCCAGTAGCAGCAGCAGCAGCGTCCTTCACGAGCCTCATCCACAGTGAGGCCGATCTTGAGACACCGCTGGGTTTAACCGGAAGGTCGTCGGCGAGTCAACTCAGCTGTCACGTCCTCGCCATAACCTCGACGACGACGCGTCACCCCCCACCCCACTCACCCCCCACCCCACTCACCCCCCACCCCACTCACCCCCCACCCCACTCACCCCCACCCCACTCACCCCCCACCCCACTCACCTCCCACCCCATTCACCCCCCCACCCCACTCACCCCCACCCCACTCACCCCTCACCCCACTCACCCCCCACCCCACCCCACTCACCCCCCCACCCCACTCACCCCCCACTCACCCCCCCACTCACCCCCACCCTACTCACCCCCCACCCCACTCACCCCCCACCCCACTCACCCCCCACTCACCCCCACCCTACTCACCCCCACCCCATTCACCCCCCCCACCCCACTCACCCCCCCACCCCACTCACCCCCCACCCCACTCACCCCACCCCACCCCACTCACCCCCCCACCCCACTCACCCCCACACTCACCCCCCACCCCACTCACCCCCCCACCCCACCCCACTCACCCCCCCACCCCACTCACCCCCACACTCACCCCCCACCCCACTCACCCCCCCACCCCACCCCACCCCACTCACCCCCCCACCCCACTCACCCCCACACTCACCCCCCACCCCACTCACCCCCCCACCCCACCCCACCCCACTCACCCCCCCACCCCACTCACCCCCACACTCACCCCCCACCCCACTCACCCTCCACCCCACTCACCCCCCCCACCCCACTCACCCCCACACTCACCCCCCACTCACCCTCCACCCCACTCACCCCCCCACCCCACTCACCCCCCCCCACCCCACTCACCCCCCACCCCACTCACCCCCACCCTACTCACCCCCCACTCACCCCCCACTCACCCCCACCCTACTCACCCCCCACCCCACTCACCCCCCCCACCCCACTCACCCTCCCACTCACCCCCACTCACCCCCCACCCCACTCACCCCCACCCTACTCACCCCCCCACTCACCCCCCACCCCACTCACCCCCCACCCCACTCACCCCCCCACCCAACTCACCCCCCCACCCAACTCACCCCCCCACCCAACTCACCCCCCCACCACCACTCACCCCCCCCACCCCACTCACCACCCCGCCACCCCACTCCGTGTGACGTCACCGTGCGAATGACGTCACAGCGCCTCGGACCAATCGGCGCCCTCGCGAGTCCCGCGTCTCGACACTTGCCACGTTACCCGCTTCGCTGGGAGTCACGGCCGCCCGCGCCTCGCGTCGCCCCAACAGCCTCCTCGCCGCTCGCCCTAAGGCCGAACGCACGCGCTAAGACATTGCCTTGCCCCCACCCCAGTGTCGTCCGAGAAAGCCGACGGCATGTGCGGTGAGCGGCCCGGTGTTCGCGGTTTCTTTTTTTTTGCGTGTCTTGTACTCAACGTCGCGGGGCGGTGCGGACCCAACCGCCCGGGTGTCGCCGTTGGTGCGGCCCGGGGGTTGAGGGCGAGTATTCCGGTATGGGAAGCAGGCGAGGGCGGGGATTCGAACGCGGCCTACGCGAGCTAGCTTGTTTGAACGTGCGCAGTGATTATTGTGGGTTTATTAATAGCGATGCAATGCTTTTTATTTTGTTCATCAACGCTTAGTTTAAACTCATGATCTTGTTCGGAAGGTACAATGGTGTGTAATATACAACGTTTTTCAGTCACAGTAACGCAATGTATGAATGAAATTGTTGCAAGATTGTATTAGGATCCCACAAATAGTAATACAATCAGGCTCAATATTTATTTCAGGAAGGTTTATGTAAATGATGTTTCCATTAAAGTTTAACTGAGTTTAAGGATCCTTCTTGATTTTACGCTTTCGTGATTGCATGAATCGTATACTCTGGTTCTTTCGGTAAAGTCAAGTAGGTATAAAAAATAATAATAATACATTACGACGTTTCGATCGCAACACAAGCAACCGTCATCAGGATCATTTTTAAAGAATGGTTGTATATTCGTACAGCACCTAAGTCACGGACACAAGATAATCCTGTCGTTATATTTATTTTTTTAAAAAACCCTCAAGACACTATAAACTTTTTTCATTATTGTATCCGGTGATCTTTATACCAGATAATAGCCCGTCACAATAAATATCTGTAATAATCCAGGATTAATTGACGTCATTTAATCGACGGAAGCCTCACTGAGTTTAATGGGATGTATAATAATTGGTATGTTAAACGTATTTTAACTTGTCCAGGAAAGTCTCCACGTTTTTAAAGATAGCTCTTTCAAAAGGGTCATGCAAGAAACAATTTCACGTATTCGGCATATCTTGCTCGAGTCGCACATTCTTTTCCCCAAAAAGTTCCTGTAGCAATTTTTTTTTTATAAAGCCACAATAAGTCATTTTCAATAGGATCCTCCTTTGGGATATTTGGACCAGTAGTTTTTTGTTTGCATGTAGGAGGAAACCGGAGTACACGAAGACAAATCCCATGCTTCTGTCGACGAAAGAAAAACGTATTTATCTTGCTGGCTGTCTTTTCTTGGGAGATTATGCTGTGTGTATTTAGGATTACGATGTGTACAGTACTTTATATCCTGGTTGGTGTGACGTTTGCCTGTGCTGCTGTATTTGTGCAGGTTGGTGATGGTGTCCGTTAGCATATCGTTCCTGTGTACTGTACGTAATTTAAAGTCGTACAATACGTCAATGTCAAGAACCAAGAAAACCGGATGTTTCCTCCCAATGTGTACACAGCTTCGCCGTGTCCGGTTGTATTCACGTTAATGAGTTAATGGTGACTTTTTAAGAGTCCTTAACTGTGTTTTTTGCCTGTCAATGGCCAGTATATTTTTTTAACAAATCAGTTGGGGCCCTTTAGGTGAAGTTGATAATCTACTTCCAGTAATTCTAATGATTATGTTGCAAATGTTGCTTCCAGGTAGTCGAAGTAGAGTGAAGCACTGCCCTATTACGATAATTAGTGGTAATTTGTTTTGTGCCTGCAGGAAATTGTTTTACTGAAAAAATGCCATGGCGATGCACATTGCTTGCTCTACTTTTAATGTAACACACCCCTAGTATTGTTTTTGCTCCAAAGCTTATCTTAGTAATATGAATGTTTGGGTGTGTATTGCCAATATGGGCTGTAACCACAAACAATTGTTTGATAAATTGTGCATAACAAATTAACTATATGAATGTTGTACTCTGTTTGGCCTTACGTGGCCAGATTTTTTTTCCATTTATTATACACCTGAATATATTAATATCCTCAGTTGATTTGATGTATTTGTAGTCCTGAATTGACATTTCTGGCCATATATACTATTAGTTATTATCTATACACGTATCCATTTTTGATCACGAGTTGATGAAGACCTCCCCCAAACCATAGTCTTAGGATGCAACAATCCATCAAGCTTTGAACTTTCACTTTGGCTGGTTTGATGTTAACCGGTTACGTATGTACTTGGTAAAGGTCGAAATATATACCAACGTAGTTGGGTGCTCTGAGTGGTGTAAATTGTTTTCATGGGCTTGGTTCGGGCAGGGCATAGGTGAAAAATCCACTTAAACCTTCATTTTATATGTCAACAAGACCTGTAGTCTGGTTTGACCTCATTCCTGCCTAGTTTCTGTTGAATCTTGACCTAAAGCTTTCGTGACTGCAGGAATATGGTTTCTGTTGCTTTGAAATTTACCGGTGGTCTGGCAGCATTTTATTGTGAATTGGCATTACAGCCCAATGAATTTAGTTCTTGTATATCTCTCCCATGTTATTTTCATTTTGTACCGCATGTTGTTCAGAGCAAAATCTCAGATATTGTGTCAAACCACACGCAGTACGCAGTGATGTAGTTCCTGGACATTTATAGGAAGTATGTAGAGATGCTAATCGTAGATTGTTTTTTCTTGCAGGAATCTTCGCCTACCTAAACTACAATGTGCCGCGCTCACGGAAGCACATCCTGGACACCTTGGTTAAGGGACTGCAGAGACTGGAGTACCGTGGATATGACTCTGCAGGTCTGAATGCAGTCTCACTTGAGAATGACATAATTTTGCCACCTATTATAACAAATATGCATACATATTTACATAAATTATCACCTGCATCCTCATCAAGAATTGTAAAAAAAACCCCTAAAAGCTCTTATCTTGTAGATACATACCAGGCAGTTTCCTGGGTTGTCTGATATAAGTTTGAACATTTTGTTAGTGAAAACTAAATTTTAAAATCACGCCCGTAAGCATGATTGTAACATCACTCCCAATTAAAAAAATATATAAACCCACCACAGTAGTGTCACTCGAATTCTCTTCACTGCGATTCCCTTTTTAATGAAGCTTAATTCTCATTGGTTACAACTGAACAAATTAGGTGTATATCTTCAAAGAGATATTTATATTCTGAGTAGCATGTTTCCTTTTAAGTGGTATTCTTTTATTTAGTTACAGCTGTAGTACTTGTGCCTTCTGAATAAAAGGTATCTGAAGTTGACTAGGATTTATATTGCTGGTTTGTGGTCTTGTGCACAGGAGTGGCCGTGGATGGTGGAAATGACAAGAACTGGGACAAGAACTCCAAGGTTATCCACCTCATAAAGAAACGAGGGAAGGTGAAGGCCCTGCAGGATGAGATCTACAGTGAGTAACAAGAGAATGCTTGTGGGTGCCTTTTCATTAAAAAAAAAACATCCGTTAGTTTCCTAACCAAATTCAAATGCCCTCCTATATTAACTAAGAAATTTGAATGCCAGTTGTTGCGGTCAGTGTGATACTTGGCACTGAAGCCACAATTTCCATTTCGTTGATGGCAGATGTCCTTGGGAAGACATCTGCTGAAGCCACCCAACTTACCACTCGATGTTCTGCTTTTTAAACGTATACCGTCTGTATGTTACATGTTACGTTTTTCTGCATGCTTTCCACAGAACAAGATTCCTTGGACTTTGACATCGAGTTTGAGACCCACGTGGGCATTGCGCATACTCGTTGGGCCACTCACGGAGAGCCCAATGCTGTGAACAGCCACCCTCAGCGGTCAGACAAAAACAATGGTGAGTGAGTCTGTGCCTCTGGGCTTAGCCACTCTGGCAATGCATTCACCCCAGAAATGTCCCTTGTGTTGGAACTCAAATAATTTATTTTCCTTTCCTAGAATTTGTTGTGATTCACAATGGAATCATCACCAACTACAAGGACTTGAAGAAATTCTTGGTAAGTTTTTAAATTTCGAATGAACCCTAATTATCTGTGTGTATATACATATACGTAGCAGGGGCAGTCAGGTTGTTATGACACTGTCAGACTTGAAAACATCCCGAAATGTAAATATACTTTCCCTAATGTAAGACTTATGTAAAATCTACCCCACAATGCACGTATATTCTTGGCTTCTACATCCATGTAATACCATAAGTGTGTAAATTATCCCATTCATTTGATTAATTTATACATTAAATGACAATTTAAATACCTTCAATTTACTATACATTCAAACATCCGTGATTCAGATGCTTCATTTGCTTTTTTCTCTAGCAACCAATGCTTTCTGTCAGTGCCCAGTCAGCCTATAAGTAGTGGGATGTAGCTGTCTCTTTTGTTATCCCCGTGGTCTGCAACTCCTTCCTCCAGCTTTCTGTGTTGTCATCTCCCTACCAGGCACAAAACCTTCCACTGTTTATGATAGGACTCTTTTGCCCTAAAAAAGAATATACATTGAAAGTATAAATCTGTCTCCTAGTACAGTGCGTTGGGTGTTGTTGAAATTTAGACGCTTTGTAAACCTCAACACGTAATGACCGGTTGCATTTTAATTTTATTTTCAGGAGAGCAAAGGCTACGAGTTTGAGTCCGAGACGGACACAGAGACCATCCCAAAGCTTCTCAAGTACATGTACGACAACCGCGAGAGCGACGAGATCAGCCTGAGCACCCTGGTGGAGCGCGTCACGCAGCAGCTGGTTAGTGGCTCCAGCGCTGTGCACAGGCCAGCTAAAGGGAGGAGGGGCAACTAGACACGCACTGCTGCTAGCAAATGCATGTCTAGGAGGGGCAACCAGACGTGCATTTGTTACACCTCCGATTAGCACGGTTGGCCACGTACGCTGCAAAAAGAAATTCAGCATACATACAGCTGCAGCAGCATGTACACAGAAGGTGACACCTTTGTGTTGTGTGCTGTGCATGCTGTGGAGTGTACCTCCCTTTTATTATTCCACTGCTGGATGAGGGCCAACCCACGCCACACCGGTCATGGTGGTGATTTGATTACACCTCACTAAGCTGGCCACTGAGTTGGTGAAGATGGGAACCATAGTTCTGGGAGTGTAGAAGTACAGTAAAATAATTTATTTTTTTGCACTGCCCTCTGCTGTCTACAATGTTGCCCCACAGCCTACAACACCTGGTTTGTGTATAGTCGTCACCCATCCAAGCACCATCCTGGCCCAAATTCGGCTTATCTCTGCGATTGAGTGCATTCCTGGTAATGTGGTCAAACGCATCATCTTTGTGTAAATTTAGCGGAGGTAACGATGCATCATAAAAATTTTGATGTTTAAGCTTATGCATTGGCTTGTGTGTAAAATTTTATGTTTTATATTTATACTAGCTTATTTGCCCATCCTAGGACGGAAGCTGTAATATTTACGAAAAAATTGAGCAGAGTATAATTGTATCTTGCGTAAATTTAATTGCAGTGAATCTTGCATAAAAATATGTCATCAAACACCTAACTACATTTCACTCTAGCACTCTATAAATGGCAGTGATTCTCGCACAAAACTACGTAATATAACACCTCACTTCATGTCACCTTCGTGCTGTATTTAACTGCTTTCGGTTGCTTGGGTTGAAATAAATTGGAATTCGATACAATATCTGGAAAATCACAGAGAAATTGTCTATTTTACCATATTGTTGAAGCATAAATTAGACTTACCTTTTGTCTCAAGTGCTGAAGAAATAAATAAAGACACCAAATCCACTTTGTTGCTGCGTAGAATTATTTATTAGATTCACTTTCAATAAAGAAACGTCAAACTTAAAGCGAATTTGCGAAAAAAATATTTCCGCTCGACCTTCTGCGCGAGTGTAAAAATTCACCCGCTCATAAATATTAATGATGGGGGGGGGGGGTGCGGCATGTGGAGTTGTGTCACGTGCATTACACACAAACAAACATTCTTGTCTCATATTATTGTAGTAATACCCTGCATGTAATCAGTTTACGCGGCCCCTAAAGCAACGAGAAGCCACTGCCTTTTACAGAAATGTTAAAATAAAGAACCGTTTCTTGCATATAATTGGAACCCTGAATCGTGACAACTGAATTTCCAGAGGTATATGAATGTTTATGCCTCTGAAAAAAAAATAATATAATAAAAGTGTAATATTCATTATTTAGGCAAAGGAGTGTTTGTTTGGCAGGAGTGGTTGTGGGGACATGTGGGGCAAAGGAAACATTTGGAGGGCATTGAATCATTAATTATATTGCTTATAAAGACACTGTACAGTATTATTTATATAATGCTTAATTCTATCCAAGTATATGTTCTCAGTTTATTTTAGTATTTTGTTTGTGTCACCTCTAGAAAGGGATTCATAAAAAGAGAATGTAAAAATAAAAACAACAGCTCAAATGTTCCCTTCGATAGTTTGAATGCATGCGTTTCCTGCTGTGGCCATCCGGCAATGCTGGGAACATATTGTTCAAAACTTGCTCAGATCAGTTTTAGAATTGTAATTCTGTTGTGATTCAAAGGGGGGTTGATTTGCACATGTTAAAGATGGAGTTTGTGTGATCATTTTGTTTCTGTTGCAGGAAGGAGCATTTGCGTTGGTCTTCAAGAGCGTGCACTTTCCAGGCCAGCTGGTGGGGACAAGGTCATTACAGCACTAATTTAACAGCTTGAATTGGAAGCCACAAGAGTGCTAAACCACAACCATATTCGTGGTGATTTTTTGCTGCTATGCAGCCCTTGAGTCAACATGAATGGACGCGCGTTTGTCACGTTGTTTAGTTTTCTATGCCAAATTTTCCGCACTCACTGTGGACGTGCAGACGCGGAGGACCTCTGCTGATTGGAGTGCAAAGCAAACACAAGCTTTCAACCGACCACATCCCTGTCCTGTACCGCTGTGGTGAGGCACTCGCGCGTTGCTGTGACACCCTGCCAAAGTTGGCAGGCAGCACCCACATCACCCCTAAGTACCCTCTTTCAACTGACATCTTTTTTTTTAGCAACAGACATGCAGTCTTATCATTTTTTATTTTTTATTGTTTGTTGGTTGCATGTGTTTCCACACACGCCTTCTTTCTACCCAGCTGACAAGCAAGTATCAGCATTGCACCAGCTCACTACCCAGTGGAAAGCAGATGAAGATGGCGAGTACTGCTCGTCAGACGTCAAGACCTCCGCTTTCTTTCTAGCCCTTTTATAGAATCCACTTGCCATCTGTGTGCAGAGATTGGATATTTGATTATCATTATCATTCTTGGTGTTGGAGTGTGATGGTGAGGGTGGAGGAATAATAAACCTGTTCCCATTGTGTGAACTTAATTTAGGCAATCATTTGCTGCCTGCTATTATCATATGCTGTGTTTGGCTGGAGAGGGCTTTTTTTGCAGTGCTTGCCTCCAGCTTGGCGAGTATAATCTTTGCATATGTAATGTAGACACTCCGGTCATTTAAATTTCAATATTTTCACACGTGTACGTATCATTATTGTTGTTATTCGGAGAACAAAATGTGTGTGTCTGGCATTGACTGATTAAGTGATGCATGCATGTGCATAGAATCATCATTTTATTATAGGTGAACACTGATGAACCACAAAAATTAAATGAATAAAAACCCAATTGGCATTTCGAATTGTATAATGGTTTACGCTGATGCTTGGTCGTAACCTGCAAATAAGCCTCACATTGTGTCGGAATCTTTGCACTGTCATGCTTATTTCCAATCAGCAGGCATATCTTGAAGGCTGTAATACAGGAGGTGGGGAACCTTTTCCTTACTGGACATCTGTGAAAAGAGCTTCATAGCTAAACGGCATTCCTCGAGTGTAAACAAGTATTCAGATTCTGTTTGCCGAGGGCCAAATAGGACTTTTAGGAACCTTCTTCTGCGAGCCACATTAACACACGCCGTGGTCACTTGTCCCGTGCAGGAGTCTCTTGCAGTGACAGAAGTGACTGAGCAGCTTTAAAAATACGTTGTTGCTGCCGGGTCAAATATTCTCCTCTTGCACCAAATTAGTGTAGCTAAGATGCTTTGATGGATAAGTTACGATTAGATAGCTGTTTTTGAATTAAGTGGGTAGGCCTCATGAGAGCACCAGCCTTATGAAACATTTGCGGACTGTTGTAGATTCCCCACCTCTGCTATAATCGTAACATTTATAACAGAAGCTTAATTTTAGGAAAACGTAATCCCACGTAAAGGTAAGTGGATTTGCAGTTGAAGTTCTTTATTTCTGCGTGTTATTTTGTTGCTGTTGCCTGTGTATGTGTGCTTAGGAAAGGAAAAGAAGGCTGTATCAACACTGCCTCGGGTTGATGGGGACACGTGTCTGTACCCGATTGGGGAAGAGACTGGTGTGGAATATTATTTTGCATCGGATGCAAGGTGTGTCCTGTACTTAAGGATAATGGCATAAATTACCCATTTTTTTACATTCCAGTAGGGCAGTTCCACGAATTATTTTCATATCCTTTAAAGATGCTGGTGATTATTTGTGTAATCATGAAGTGGCTTTTTACTTACTCATAGCATGCCATCTAATTATGACTAAATTCAGATGGAATTTTTTTCCCCCACATTTCTTGGTAAGGGAGATGGCTTCATCAACTAACCGTGGTTTAGGATATTCGGACGGACCAGGCTGAAATTGTTTTGGTACTTCCAGTTCGGATGTGTATCAAACCGTTGACTTACTTTATTAGCCAATATTTTTTAATTAGATAAGTACCTTCAGAGGACACACCATATAAATTATAATGATGATTTAGATATGTTGACTGATGTTGCCTAATTTGTGTAACCGTCTTTTTAGGTTACGTATACCTTGTGCTATTTATTGATCTTCTTTGGTTCTTTCGGTAAAGTCACGTAGAATGAGAATAAAATAATAAAATAGCAAATAAAATTATCACGACGTTTCGGCCACAACGCAAGCGGCCGTCTTCTTGCGTTGTGGCCGAAGCGTCGTGAGAATTTTATTGTGTTTATTTTATTCTCATTCTACGTGACTTTACCGAAAGAACCAAAGAAGATGAATCCTTGCAGTCACGAAAGCTTCAAATCGCTTTTTATTGATTTCAGTTGCATCTAAGTTTACCAGGTTTCCATGTCTAATGGGCAAAAAAAATACTTTGGCAACATTCATTTGACACGATTCATTAACATTGGACATGTAATGTAATTTTGCAAAAAAAATATTTTCCCAACAAGACATTGCCAGGCGCTCATTGGCATAGCAAACCATTATATTGCAGTTTAATAGTGCTGCGATACCCCGATTTACGTCTCCCCGTTTTACGTCGTTTCACGAATACGTCGCCACTTTATTATTAACACCGCTACCTGATTTCCATCGCCTCAAGCCCCGCGTCGTTGACAGCATCGTCCGCCCTTTCTCGTATCCGTCGCCTCGGCCTTCGCCTCCACCTACTACCCTGCGAATCGGTTTGATTTACGTCGTTTCGATATTCGTCGTCGCACCTTTCAGGAACGCATCCCCGACGTAAACCGGGGTGTTGCTGTACTCAAATGCCGAGACAGAAAATATTTTGCAACCGTTGTAGCTTAAATAACACTGAAAAAAAAAACCAGTAGAGTAATTACAGCCTTTTACACAACTGGTAAATGAAGGTGTACTTGCAGCTGAGAAACTTAAGCAGAGTTGAAGCCTGATAAGAATCATGCCTGGTCATTACTTGGATTGTTGACCGCCTAGGAAACACCATGTGTTGTAGACGTGAGCTGCCTGGTGACCATGAGTCAGCAGTAGAGCGACATATTTGATAAATATTCGCGTAGGTTTGAAAGTCATCCCCTCGAATCGGTAGGATGTCTCCAGGTACTCTGCTTTTCACATTGCAAGCACCAGTTAGTTGAATTAGTCAAACATTCAGTACCCTCGTGAAAAGCACATAATCAGGCTGTCTTTGATAATTAAAGGGATTTGCTGTTATTCTTAGAGTGTTTATGCTTAGATTTTTGAGTGACTGCTGCGCTTTAGTAAATCCTCCTCCGCACGAACACCTGCGGTGGCGGGCAGAGTGACATTGCCGCCCACCCGTGTCCGATTTCACAGCGCGATCATCGAGCACACGAACCGCGTGATCTTCCTGGAGGACGACGACGTGGCGGCGATTGTGGACGGTCGTCTCTCCATCCACCGCATCAAGCGCACTGCTGGGGATGACCCGGCGCGTGCCATCCAGACCCTGCAGATGGAACTGCAGCAGATCATGAAGGGTGCGTCACTGGCCCAGGGTCGCCGGGTCTGCGCTCTCGCTCTCTCTTGCCGTGGGCACATATGCCGTTTGCGTAACCCTTTAGCCGAAACTCCCAATGGGGGGGGATTGACCCCTAATTCCACACCGTCTCCTTTTATAAGTTTAAATAAGGACGGCTATATTTTTTTCCAGGTTGCTACAGTGTTGTTGGTGCAGGCAGCCAGAGTAAAACATGAATCTTGTTTAAAACTTCATTGACAAATAGCTTTGACCTTGTGTTACGCGTGTTCTGTAGAAATCCAGGTTAGGCTAATTAGAATGGCGCTTGTGTTAAATTACACGATATACATCTTCATTTGTGTTAATGATGTGCGGTAGTTTAAGCTTTCAAAATGTCGATTAGTTTTGAATGCTCTTTACCATATGAGATTTTTGCCGTGACACTTTGACATTGGAGCAATTCCTGTGTTATGCAATGCAAATGTGCCCCTTACACGTGCTTACGTGGGCCCACATCTGTTTGCTGTCGGATTCCCAATACAGGGAGCTACAGCTCTTTCATGCAGAAAGAGATTTTTGAACAGCCCGAGTCCGTGGTGAACACCATGCGTGGCCGTGTCAACTTCGACGACTTCACAGGTACAGGTGGACAAATTTAATGTACCTACAGCCCCCAGACATGCCTCATGTTATTTATGCTCGTCAGTCGGATATAAGCGTTGATTTAAAAAAAACCCGGACAAAGTTTCTCATATTCTTGGTTCTTTCGGTAAAGTCACGTAGAAGGGAAACAATAAAATAATAAAAATATAAAACAATAAAATTCTCTCAAAACCACAACAAGAAAATTATTGTTGTGGTTTTCACACCTGATTATGATTGCTTGTGTTGCAGTCGAAACGTCGTGAGAATTTTATTGTTTTATATTTTTATCATTTTATTGTTTCCCTTCTACGTGACTTTACCGAAAGAACCAAGAATATGAATCCCTGCAGTCACGAAAGCTTTAAATCAAAGTTTCTCATGTGCGCACCTTTTTGCAGTGTTGCTGGGAGGCCTGAAGGATCATATCAGAGAGATCAGACGGTGCAGGCGCCTCATTGTCATCGGCTGTGGCACCAGCTACCACGCAGGCGTTGCGGTCAGTACACCCTCCCTGACAAAATAGCTCTTTGGACTTGGCTCCCAGTGTTGGCAGCGGCAAGGCCTTCCGCTGCATAGCGCGACGCGAAGGCTATGACTCGGGTCACGTGGACATGGGGTGCTTTGCTTTCAGACTCGCCAAATCCTGGAGGAGCTGACGGAGTTGCCGGTGATGGTGGAGCTGTCCAGTGACTTCCTTGACCGCAACACGCCCGTCTTCAGGGATGATGTCTGCTTCTTCATCAGCCAGTCGGGTAAGATTTTTCAAAGCCCCTCGACAAGCGCAACAAGACACGGATGTGTTGGGGGCATCCAAATGCTGCCTCGGTTATTTAGAGATCGCAGAGCAGGAATGTGGGTTCTTGGGAATCCTGCACAATGCCCAATGAAGTGTTTTTGCATTAGGCTTTGTCAACTGGAGTCTGCAACATGCATGTGAAACGTTACCGTCGGCAACAAGTAGGTGTGACGTTACTGGTGCTGTGGTTTCCACACTAAGCTGTGAACCCGGAGACTGATTTTGTGATTCCTGGCTACAGCTATTGTCAGTGGCAAGTGATATCTGCATCCGTGTTGGGTCCCCTTAACTGAACTGTACTGACCAGTGCAGTGAAGGAAGTATGGTCAAATAAATCCCGTGACTGACACGACATATATACGTGTATATATTTATTGTTGGTCTTATCTGTACTATCTACTCAGCCTAAATGTGAAATATGAATGTAATGCTCATGTTTTTTTTACGTAAGTAATTCTTACACGTGAAATTCGCTGCACCTTTGAGTCTAAGGATACATTTGAATGGACAAAGTGATGCATTATTACGTGTGAACTTCTTTCGCACTGTACGTAGCCAACCGTGCTGATCAGAGGTGCCTTGTAACCAAGGGAGCAATCGTAGGATTGGGCGTTTTTATTTTAGCGCACAAAGTTGCCCTGCTATTTCTACCGTGTCACTTGTCGCGGAAGCTCGGGATATTCGAACGGATTGGCTCGAATGGAGGCGGTTAGCTTTGCCCCCACGTGTGCTTCAATCAGGGGAGACCGCGGACACGCTCATGGCCCTGCATTACTGCAAGGAGCGTGGGGCGTTGACGGTGGGCGTCACCAACACGGTGGGCAGCTCGATCTCGCGCGAGACCGACTGCGGCATCCACATCAACGCCGGGCCAGAAGTTGGCGTGGCCAGCACCAAGGTGAGTTGTCGCGCAGCTCACCGTCGGACGTCTGCGAGGACAGAAATTCTAATGCAGCTCTAAGCGCAAATATAATGTTACTGGATGATGTCATGATATTTGATTTGTTTCAATTATAGTACTGTGAATTTTAGTAATGTGATGTGTCTTACACTTAAAGCTGCCGAAGACCACTTTATTTGATCATTATTTTTAAATATTACGTGTGAGATACATCATACATGTAAGGTTGACATGACAGAATAATGAAAAAATACAAAGCGGATGGTAAAACTAAACAAAAATGTATCGATGCTTAAACTGCATCATGACAACTCATCACATTGTTGGACAACGGGGGGTTGGAGGGTGGTAGTGATTTGCTAAATGCCCATTGGCCATGATGAGTTTGCATCTTTAAATCTGCTTGGCCGTGCGTGTGTGCGTCCGTCGTGTTCCCCAGGCATACACGAGCCAGTTCGTGGCGCTTGTGATGTTCAGCCTGATGATGTGTGACGACCGCCTGTCCATGCAGAAGCGCAGGCAAGAGATCATCAGTGCTCTCCGCACTCTGCCAGGTGAAGATCCCCCCTCCCCCCCCGCCCCGTTGTCGTCAATCACGCAAACATGAACAGTGTCCTGAGCTTCTTGATACTCCTGTTGATTTATTTGAAAAAAAAATGTGCATTCTGTTAATAACTCTGGAACCAAAAGTAATATAAAGCATACGTTGTACAGAACTATTCCGCTAATAAAGAATCTCACGTTTAAAAATGCAAAAAAAAATAGTTCAGAGTTTACTCGACAGCAGTTCACAGATGGCGGACTTGAAATATAAATAAATCATCATTATAACCATATTTATTGAAAGATGTTTGTATTCATCATCATACTATTGCTATATATAAAAACATTTTTTTGCCATTATTCTACTTTTAACTTAAGAACTAGAAGTGTTACAAGGATGAGCCACTGTGTGCACAGTGTCACCTTGCTGTGCACATGGGCTATGGTTGTGGGATTATTCCAAAGGAGGCGCCAAAGCTAGTTTACTTATAAACAACTCTGATTGGAATTCATTGAAAGAGCCAAACATGCTGTATTAGCCTGACAAAGCCCCTCACAAAACAAAATTCACAGATGTATTTGCCAAAATGTTTTCGGTTTACTGAATTACATTCATTACAATTTTTTTACAAAATAAAAACAAATTGCAATAAAATGCTATGAAATTCTTCTATTGCTTTTCATATTTTTGCACAGTGCCTCATAGAGAGTAGGTGTCATTAATTAGCAGCTAATTAAATAATATTGGGCACCAGCCCTCAAATACCACCAACCTTTTCCGCCTATCGGATGTGCACTGTCCACCCTGCTGATGGGATGATGAATTATTTTCTCATTTTGGTATTCCCCCTGCGCTGAACATGTTCCGTCTTCCAGAATTGAGCAGCTGTAATGAAAGCAACCGAATTGTATTTTGAGTTTGCTCGATTGAGGTTCACGTAAAGATTGCCATTTATACATTCCATTTGCTTACTCGCATTGTTCATATTTTTCTGTGAGTGGGCAGTATTACTCTCAGATGATGTGCATGTGTGTGTCAATGCGTGACTCAAAGCACTGTTTGCACAAGTGTTGTATACTCAGTGGTGCAGCTATTTTATAAATGTTGATTTAATTATTACTGTCACTGTTTGGTGAGCTTGAATGGTTGTAATTTGTGGGGGAAAAGCTCTTATTTTCAGAAGTTAAATCAATTCAATGTTATCCCGGACAGGGGCGGAGCCAGGGGGGGGTGACAGGGGTGACATTCTGCGTGTAAGTGTACGACACTCGGTCTGGCGGACTCCGTGCAACTGCATTGTCAGAGCGTGTCGCCAACCGATGGCGTCTGGTTCAACAGCCTGACTCTAATCATTCTTGAAATTAAAATTTGTTGAATGTCACCCCGGCCTGAAATCCTGGCTCTCCGCCCCTGATCTCGGACATCATTGAACAATTGGCAAGGATCATTGACAATTTTTGACAATTCGTGAAATGGAAAATAGTCAGCAACTATAGACTGGAGACCTGCAGTGATAAAAAAAATATGTTGTTGGACCTTCCACCTTAGAACGCCATCCCCCCTGCACATTCGCAGCACTGACTCTTTACCTACCTTTAAGCGCCTTTTGAAGAAAAACATCTTTTTATTTGACTTAGTGAGCGGATCTCTGAGCTGGGCTCCGCATCTCAGGGGTCGCTGCCTTCGGGCAAGTGAAATTTGTGCGCGTTATAAATTTGCATTATTATTATTACTGATAATATTGGCTGCGAAAGCCTTACGTGTTAAACTGATCGTGCATCGTGCACAGGATGCATATGACCAAGTCGCCCAAAAAATGCCAATCTTTCCCCAGATGTTTTGAGGCTATGCAGCAGGGTTGGTTGAGTCGGGTTTGTGTTTTTATCGGTGACCACCAGTGCTTGCCAGGTGTGACTGACGCTGGAAGATCATCAGGAGATGGCCATGCTGAGTGTTACCCCCCTCCTATGCATGGCCTTTTTCTTGTGTATTCTGATTCCCTCCCACATTAATCCAAACATTAATTTGCGGAATTGGCCAAACATTCCAATGCACCTTATAAGGATGCCCCCCCCCCGATAGACTTCCCCTGGAACTCTACCGGGCACGTCCCACTGGGCGAAGACCCCAGGGCCGGCCCAGGGCACGCTGGCAGGACTATGTCGCACGGCTGGCCTTGGAATGCCTGGGAATTCCCCAGGAAGAGCTAGATTCTGTCGCCAGGGAAAGGGAGGGAGGTCTGGACCCCGCCCTACTCTCAACATGCTGCCGCTGCGACCTTCAGGTCAAGCAGATTGAGAAACGAACGAATGAATTCCAATCCAGGACCCTCCTGAAAAAGCTTTGAGTCTCGGCAACACGTTCTCGATGAAATAAGCGTAATGATTATAATGTGTCGTACGAATGTAATTTTTTTTTGTTCTTCATTTCAGACCTGATTAAAGAGGTGCTTGCGCTCGATGATCAGATCAATTCGCTGGCTCATGAGCTTTACCAGCAAAGATCCCTGCTGGTGATGGGACGTGGCTTCAACTATGCCACCTGCATGGAGGGTGCTCTGGTATGATATTATTGTGGTGTTGATTGACGTGCATGAAATACGCAAGAGAGATTTTTTTTCCAGTAGGCAGCGGTAGCTATTATTTAGCATTTTGTAGGTAGAACTGAATTCTGTATGTTTGTATTTTTGTTGACGGGCCCTTTTTCAGCCTACGGTCTAGGGTCCAGTGAGCATTTGATGTGGCCATCCCCAAGCGTAAATGCAGATTGAGTGAGGGCTATTTCAGTTGTGAGAGTGTGTAATCTTTTCTTGGGCTGCGAGAATGAAGTAATGTGTGATCCGATGATGTGACCCTACACAGTTCCGTTCAACTAGATGGATTTTCAAATTTCCCGATGTATTTTGAGGTTTTGCCAAGTCCCCTGTAATCACCACTGCCCCCTCTGCAGTGTACACAAATGAAATAGGACACATACATTGTTGACACATCGGTTTCAAAGCCTAAATTTCATTGAGGTGCCTTATCAGTTTTACGACTGAAGTGTGCCGCTAACAACAGTTCAGTTTCAGTTTCACATGTGAATTAACGTGGCTGCTGACCACGGCGTAGTCTTTGCGCGAAACACATTGGAATACTAAATTGATTAACCCTAATTGTAGCCCGTTATCCACGTGTCTGCATGTGGCTTCCTACATGCGTTTCCCTAATCTACAACAGATTGTCCTCTTTGCGTTTAATTTTTGCATAACTTATCCCCTCGTTAGGCTGCTAATTAGCATGTGGTAAGCTGCATTTAATTAGAGAGTGTAAATGAGGCTTCATATGCTGCGATTCAACATGTTATTGCTGAAATGGCTACTGACAGGACATTGGCACTCAGCTGGGTGCTTAGAGAGAAGCTGGGGCTTTAGTATTGTTGCGGTTGAATTGTGCATGATTTATAATGCGCATAATGACTTTCTAATCTCTATATTAACAGGAATGTCATCTCTTTTTATTATAAATACATTCATTGTTGTGGTGTGAAGTGTATATAAAATAGTTTTTTTTCCCTAATTCCTGCTCTTGTAGCGGAATGTTTATTGTAAAATATATCAACGTAATTAGAATCCAGGCTCTTTAAACAAATGCTATTGTATTTATGGTCACTGTTAGATTATTATTTCATTATATGGTAAATATGGCTACACTTAAGTTCAAAATGCATGCTTAGTGTGTTCCATTTTCTGTCTCGTGTGTGTATTGTCAGGACAGCTCAAGGTCTTCACTGTTTCCCAGGCTGTTACTTTTGCTTCTAGTTTAAGATTGGTATATTCTCCCACATTGTTTGCCATAGAAACAAACAGGAAAAGGCAATGATTAATTTACGAGGACATTTTTCTAAGTCGGTGATTTCCTTCTCAGATGAGCACTGAGAGGACATGAACAGAGCTCCTGCTTACAAATCTGAGCCAGTGGTGGAATTTCCTCGTTCCTTTTGCAGGAGTGATTATATCCAAAGGACAAGCATGATGGGCTTAGTCGCACAATCAGCCAGGATTTGAGCTCGCACCTTGCGAGCCGCTCGCTCTACCCACACAGATCCACCTGGGCCGGGTTGGAAAATGGAAAAAGGAAATAAAATTGAAATACGCGACTTGGAAGCACGCGTTTGTGAAACGTGTGTGGATATTTTGTTTTATTTCTTTACAATGTAGAAAATCAAGGAGATCACGTACATGCATTCGGAGGGCATCCTCGCCGGGGAGCTGAAGCATGGGCCCCTCGCACTGGTGGACAAGCTCATGCCTGTCATCATGATCATCATGAAAGACCCCACGCACACCAAGTGTCAGAACGCACTTCAGCAAGTGGTGGCCAGAAAGGTCAGATTCATCTGTCTTTCACAGTTCTCTTTCACAACTGCATGGAGTTGCCTTTTGGATATATCCATTTGTTTTGTTGTTTTCTATTGGAGTTTTTTTTTTAAGTGCCAGTGACTTTAAATCTCACACCAGAAAGAATAGTTGGCCAAACGGAGGTCGAGGAGTTTAATGTTTACCAACAGTGTGTAAAATTATATAAGCGCGATACATTGAACTTTACCGCAGCATTACACAATGGTTAAACGGATATTCTTTTATCAATCCACTGCTGGATAAAGCAAGACCTCTCTCCATACCACGTCGGTCATGGGGGTTCACCATATTTCACCACACTGGTCAGTGCTGGTTGGTCAGGGACGAGTTTAGATATTACAGATGTTAGTCGTGGCCGAAATTGAGCTCCATTTGCCGGGTTCATAGCGCACTACCCGAATCATACTGCCACCACTCCACCCCGCTATTACAGTAAGGTCTCAGAGTACGCGGGCTTGGAGTACGCGGACCCGCTCATACGTGACCGACCCCGATTCATACTTACACTTGTGACTTGTGCTTTCTCTACACGCACGGGGCGGGAAGCGAGGAGTCAAATCACCCGCCATCACGCGCACGTGGAATTGAGGGCATGTGTAACTGTATCGCCCGCTCAAGAAACTTATATTTTAGCGATTTGCTTACCATTTCCTCTATTTTGTACTGCTATCGTTTTTTTGTTTTGTTGCGCTGTTGTAACTTGTTGACCCGCCCATACTGAAAAAGAGCTTCACAGCTCATCGGATTCCTCCAGTCTAAATAAAGATTCCGATTCTGATTCCGTCATTTTCACCGACCTCCGTGTCTGCAGGGGCGGCCTATCCTGATCTGCGAGAAAAACGACGATGAGTCGAAGCTGCTCGCGTACCGCACCATCGAACTGCCGCACACGGTGGACTGTCTGCAGGGCGTCCTTACCGTCATCCCCCTGCAGCTCCTGTCTTTCCATCTGGCTGTCCTGCGTGGCTTTGACGTAAGTTTTGCGCATTTCAAGTGAAAACAAAGAAGAAATATGCCCACGAACAGATTCTCTCACGCCGTCCAAAATGTGGTTGTCACACTGCGTCCAGAATCTGAGACGTGGTCACGCGTAATCACGTCATCGGGAGGGGAGACGCTCGCATGATGAGACATAGAATGATGACATTACAATTAATGATGTCATCACAGTGGCAGCGAAAACATAATTTAAGCGCTGTTTTTTTAATCGCCAAATTTGACTGTTTTTCTCGAAGCCAAGCCCCAAATAGCAACACAACTTTCATTTTTTTTTATTATTATCGTGGAACATCTTTGCAAAAGTTATTGTGACCCCTCCTGAGACAGACAGACAGCCCGAGCTAATGCATTTATACTTTCAACCTTAGTCGGGGGGGGGGAGGAGGGGGGGGGGGTGGTGAGCGTAAAAAATATAAACTCACTGGAGCGCCCTGCATCATTTTCAAATATCAAAGTCCAGCCCGGCTCTGCTTGAGCAAACGTATTTCCTGGCGGTGAGCCCGGCGGCTTGCAGTCGAGGCCCATGGAAAATTGACGGCGTGTCGGCGGCCGAGTTGCTGACAGTTGCCGCGAGCTCTGGCCGCTCGGGTCTGTGGATCAGACTTGCGTGATGGCAACAAACAAAAAAATGGGTCGTGGGCATGGGGGTTTGCAATTTACAATTTTTTCTATCCCCCCCCCTCTCCATCCTCCTCCCGCTCCTACTTCAGTACTGCAGCAGTCCCTTTGCTATTTTTATTTGGTGGTTCGAGTGTAATAAAGCGGCGAGCTGTCATGCCCAGCCGTACCCCATTCCACTGATCCCGTCACCTTCACTAATGTCAGCGCCGCTGGTGTTGCGACAAGATGAGCTTGTTCTCCGCCCACGTCGCCCCATTAATGCGACGGAGAACGCCGTCGCAGCTCGCCTGGGACCAGATGCACAGCACAAAATGCTCCACATGGCAGACGCCCGCTCTTACAGCAAGCACTTTAATGACAGTGGTTCACAAATAATATGCAGATCAAATTCCAGGGTTATTCATAATGCATTTAATGACAAAGTCTTGAGAGTGAGTTTTTATTTTAGGTTTGAAAAGGTTGTTTGCATATTATCCAATGCAAGGGCACTTCTAAAAGAGGTTCTTATAGCTATATGTTTCAATTGATAGGCTCAATAAATTGTAAGGAATTCAACGTCTTGACCTTGACATGTTTTCATTGATCATTCCTGAGATCTTGGGTTGAAATCTGTGCAACTGCCCATGTTTAAAACCGGCTGCTCAAGTGCAGCCACTCTGGTCTCAGCTTGGTGGTCACCAATGAGTGCACAAAAAACAAAAATCGGTGTTGAAATTGAATCGGGCAAGATTCCAAGTCTGAGAAAAAAAAACGTTGATTTATTGGTTTGACTGGCATGTGACAATCTCATAGCAAGAGTGCGTCTCCCAATTTGTGATGCATAAAAATGAATTCTGAACAATATTTAATACTTTCTGTGTAAATTCGCTTTTTCTAATAAATGGGGGGAGGTGCTGTGTAAGATTTCCGAATGAACTCTTCGTCTCGTGGAATGCCACGTACAACAACATTGGAACACATTTCAAACCCCCCCCTACATTTTTTCTAAGAAAAAACTGGTGTTTCATCGCCTTTAATGAGCAACGAGCAAGTGTAAAGTGACCTAAGTTTGCATTTTGGTGTTTTGTGCAGGTGGATTTCCCACGCAACTTGGCAAAGTCCGTCACAGTCGAGTGAATCCGCTCTCAAAGTTCCCCGGTGAAGCAAGAGAAATGTTTTTCATTCGACACTGTCCTTTAGTTTTGTGCTTCTGTGCATAATATATTTGCATTCCTTATTTACCGGTGTTGCTTGAAGCAATTGTTTCTTCAACTGTCAAGTTAAAGTGTAACGGATGTTTATTTTATAACTCTAGTTCTGTAAGCTCTTACATGATGCGACCAATAAATAACACTGAACAAGAATGAAGTGGAAATCGGCTAATGTGTTAGTTAAGAATATAATTCAATTCAATGCCGTTAACCCGGTGAGAGCCCAATTAAATTCATGCATTATCTATAACTACATTTAGGCGGAGCCTTTACATATTAGTTTAATGACGTGTAATTTACTTAGTGTCTTGGCATGCTCTAAATTGTAGAGACTGGTTTACCATTGTTCAGCTGTTGTATTTTGGCTTTCTGCTGGTATCGCACGTCTTGTTTACAGGACAATAAGTATCGTTGAAGGGAACATGAATGAAAGAATAACTTGAATAATGTGGTATTGTTATTCTAATTAGCCAGGGTGGTAATATCTCCAGAATGGAAAAACTCTTATGTCTTGAAGGGATGGTGGCCGATGGATGAGACTAACGAAGGATTGACAGCCAAAGGAGGGAACGTGCCCCGGGGGAGCAAGTCCTCCGAGGAGGTGGAGTGATGGTGTCCGCTCACGTGCAAGTGTGTTAGGTGAATTATTACGTTGCAGGATTGAGAGACGCTGATGGCAATGGCTTTCAGAGGCCTTCATCCTGCAGTGGATTGATCATGGCTGATGATGTCTTATTATATAAAACAAAAAATATGTGCTATTCGATATGCATCGACAATATGGAGGTTGTGCAACGTGTGAAGTCGCATCAATTATGACACGTGTTGTTGCTTATATTTTTTGAAATGCAGATGTAATGTGAATACTGAATGCAGATACTGTGGTTGTCAGCAAGTGTGAGAGATTGTAATTCACAGCAAATAGTTTGATCTTGGCGATGTGCTGTGTTAGGCCAATTTGCTTCTAAATCACGAGCTTTATGCATGAACATCCATTTGTATTTAAATTATTAGTATTATGCTAAATAGTGGACACAAATGATCAGTTATGTTTCCGTGCTTAAAACAATACAATTTGCTCACAAATGCATCGGTCGTTAAGGAATACATGCAAAAGTATGTTTACCATATTTATGCATTGTACATTTGACATGTTTGTGTCGGCTCTCTTATGTAACCTTATGTATAAAAAAAGTTGAATTATTCAATCTGTCTTCATAAAAGTAGAATGAAGCTAAACTTTTATAAAGAGATTAGACTTTTAACGTTTTTTTGTTCATCCTATCCCATTGGGACTGATATAACTTGGCACTTGTGTCACGTGGCAGCATTGACAGGCATTTCGTATTTCCATTCCACATGCGATGGGTTTAATAGTCAGGGTTGGCTTTGAAAGCACTTGTTCATTGGTAGAGAGACCTGTTTTTGTTGCAACATTGTTAATTTGCTATTCTTTTTAAAGAAGTCTATTGTACTCCCTGTTTTACATGAATAGCATGTATGCCCCAACAATGTCAATTCGGGGTGTAAAGAGCCATCCAGTCATTGATTTATTTATAGATAATTAAGATATTATTGATAAGTGCATGAGATTGAATGTGTAAGAATCGATGTTTCCATTTGTGCAGATATGCAATTATGATGTGAGCAAAACTGTACAAACGAGAAATAAAGAAAAAAACATTAACTAAGTAAAGGAGATTGTAAAATTGGGACGATACATCCTCAATTATCGAATGGAATTACTGCCCCGATTTGCGTTGATTTATAAAAGTCTCCTGCAGGCACGAATCATTGTACCCCCTCTGTCAGTGGTGCGCAGTCAATGCTCTCTACTTGCACTTGTCTTCTTGAGCTCTTTATCTTTAGCCAATTGGAGCGTTCTCTTGTTATTCAAATTGTACGCCACCGAGCACAATGGCTGGGCCCATGCCAGGAACTGTGCGAGTGGACAGCCCCTACTGCCCAGCGGGGTAGAGTGGGTGGGGGAAAGCAGGGGCTTAACAGCTGTTTCACACCCACCCTGGGTACTAATGCCATTTTTTTTTGCAATGGGAACAGGAGTCAACAATTCCATTCAATTTAGTTTGCGTTTACACAACATCGCGTTTGAAAAATAAGGCTTTGTGTTTGCCCCCCCCCCTCCCCAAAAGAAAATAAACCCCAACATGTCTGGCTCATAATTTCCAATTACATGGGGAATATGAAGCGAGAGTCAAACAGTTAAATTGAAAAACTAATGCGCATTGACATTTGTGAGAAAAAAGTTAATCCCAAAAGCGTTTGAAGGAAAGTGTAGCAGAGGCCGTACATAGTAGCATGTATGGTGCGAAAGAAGTTCAACACGTAAGTTACAGTAGAACTGATGCAATGAGCGGCACACCTCTATTCATGGACCTCAGCAGGCAAAGTGGTATGCAATTTCAGCCTTTCCGAGTACACTGTTGGCGGCATTTGGCATAGTGTGCACTTCACAAGAGCATCGATAATGTTCAGGGTAACTTTTATGTGTGCTGGGGAGATTTTGAAGTTGGAATTACACGCAGTCCAAGCACCTGTTAATTGCGTGGAATGTAAATTGATAGTTCGTTGCAGCAAAAGTACCGTTATCCGGTATCCATGGGGAATGAAGTATGTTGGTTTCATCGAATACGCCAGTTATCCGAGAGGTTACTTATGAAAAATACGTGCAGGTTTTAGCCTTTCTGGCAACAAAGCAGGTGTTAAGATGTTCAAACACCAAATAAAAACCTTTTTGCAAGGAATAAAGTTCCTGCATTAACCACACTTGCTTGTGGTGAACATGCAAACAAACACGTGGCTCTGATAATAAACTAGCATTGCCTTTGATTGTCCTACACCAGAGACAGCGGCAGTCTTCTTCATGGCCTCATCTCGTGAGTGTCGGACCAAACGGCGTACAGTACAAAGACAATGCACGTATCAGAGCATTTATAGCTTGGGGTGAGCAGCTATATAATGGGACCTTTTTTTTTATACTGGCAGTTAAACCGATGTTTCAGAAAATTTTCCAAGTACATTTAAAGACACAAACTAAGCCAAAATGTATCGTACATGAAATAATATACACTTTTTATGGAGGCGCTCACGGGTCGTTTGTGGAGCATTCTAAGTTGATCATAGAGAAGCAGTGGGGAAGTTTAGAGTACGGTATATGGGTAGGACAGTGCTGTATGTACAGACTATGTACAGACTTGCCCTTGCACTGCCAGTTGGCAGCTTCCTGAAGCTCCCGTAAACGACAGCTCTCTGTGATAAGCGCACGGCAAGATGCCGGATGGCTGTCGGATTTTTTTCCAGATTAGTGAAGGAAGATTTGTATTGCCGTCATATGACAAATGCCGGTTAATCGAGCATTCCGGATGGTGAAGTGCCGGATAACAGGGTTTTTGCTGTATTCTGTGGTGGTGGTGGTGGAGGGGATTGGGAATGGTTATGGGACCAAACAGTACCTTGTAGAGTATACTCAACTTTATTTGTTGTGCAATAAGTCTTTTGATTTTAAATTGTTATAATACTGGTGTCTGTTATGTTTTGTGGTTATACAGTAGGTGTAGCTGGTTTTTTTTCCCCTACTATTACACAAGTTCATTACCAATGTATCAAGTGTGATGACGATTTTGTGGTGTGATTTGAAAAGGTTACTGAAACTTACAGCTGAAAGCATCATCTGCTGCCAAGTCCAATTTGGGTAATGCTTTGCAGGTAGTGATATGCCCCCTTTCCTTGGTTTTTTTGAGTTTCGAGGCATCGCCTGTTGAATGTGACACGGGGGGGAACCCCGTGGAGGTGACACGATTTCAACTTAAATCATTGGCCTCGAGTCACGGCAAATGGGGAGGTGGCTATTGTTGCCCATTAGTGTGACTGGACCATTGCATACATGCATGCAAGTGTGTCACTAAGCGTCATCGCTTCGAGTGTAATGTGTAGTACGCGGTCGGTCCCACCGTAACGTAATTAGAGCGCGGAACAGCAGATCCTGATCGATAGTTTGACGTGAGCATCATCTTGGGCTTTTGTCGTGCATAAATGTCCTCGCACGAGCAGGTTGTTACGATGGTCATACAAACGCTCATTGTATCGAATGAAATGTCTTTATGTGGTCTGCGTTGGTCGTGTAATTCCGTTGCCGTGGAATGTTCCACGTTGGGACTGCCTATTTTATTTCGGATTTATTTCGCGCGCCCTTAGCCAGGGCGCTATTTGAATTTGAGTTGGCAATTTTAAGGCAGTTTTTTTTAAAACAATGGCTTAACTGTGTCAAACATGTATTTATAGATTTTGTTCAACAACAACATAGATACATGTGTGTTGGTTATGCTCCAGTTTTTTTACTTTGATTTTTCTTGCTGCATGCACAGTATATAGTGTATACAGTATATAGTGTATACAGTATATAGTGTATTCAGTATATAGTGTATACAGTGTATATACAGTGCATTGCATGGTTTTTCGCTTTTGTTCCCCTTCGTCGCGTGGGACGTGTTTAACAATCATCAGATGCGTGCAGTGTGGAACAAGTACATTTGTATTTGAATGGGGTGTAAAGTGGTAAACGAGGAAGGACGTGGTGGGTTGTGAAGACTGGAGTTTGGGAACCCCTGAATAAGAGCATCTGTAAAGATTACCCAAATTACACTGGCTTCAGCAGCAAGGGCAAAGCTGGATTGTGTTCTGCGGAGCTCTGCAATAGAGCTGTGCATGTACAGGGTACGTGGCTGTAATTGGAGGAAGGCTTCTTCCTGGAAGGTTACAAGAGACGGATTTGTGGTGAAAGCTTTTTAACGAAGAACACCCTATTATATTGCTGTTTATGATTTGTTTCTAATAAAATATAGGACACTCTTACATGCTTTGATTTATTTACCATATTCATAATTATGCAAACATGCAATCCATTTAGCTTGTGTGGTCACAGCAAACCAATTTGCATAATTTATCCACTTAAGTACTATAAATATGCACATGGTAGAAATATTAATGCTCTTCATTAATTGCACTTCAAAACGTTAATGCATTTTTATTTAAGAGTCATTACCCTTAAGGTTTTAATGTGTACCCATTTTTCAGAACTTTCATGGCAGAACTCTTTTTTTTTGGGGGGGTGGGGGGGGGCTTAACATTGGTCCGTGAGTGGATCTCGTATCAAGCGGGATAAATATCTGGCGAGTGTGCCGCACGAAGCCGGGGCGGACGTCAAGGTTCGGATTGGCCCCGTAAACAGCAGTGACAGAATGTCGCTCCTTATTTCGCGAGGATCACTTCGCGGGTGGGCGGCAGCGAACTCCGCTTGTAATTAGGTGGCCGTGTCCTGCGGCACACGCTGGTCCGCGCCGCTGACGTCCTCGCTGGTCATTGTCCAACCGTGTTCACATCAAGCCGCGAGGTTTTGTCAAAAATGTTTTATTGGGATGTCGAGCAGAGCATCCGAGAGACTTTTTGATTTGCCCCCCCCCCCCCCCCGCTTTTTCTTAAAGAGCGGCACTGCTGCCACGCATGATGGCTCTCTTCAAATCTATATGATGGGAGGCCGAGGCAAGTTGCCTCATTCAGAAATGTTTGCCTGGCTCCGACGAATAGGCACGAAAAACTCCTTATTTTGCTGTCATTAACACGCACAATTTTTGTCGTTCAGAAACACAAGCAAGTTAGGATTGAATTTTTTATTATTTTAATTCACATATATAGTTACACTTTTTTTTTATTGAACAGTATACATCAATTTAGACTTAACTTTCGTCACTGCAGGAATTCATATTCTTGGTTCTAAGTCACTACAATGTGCATTTTCTACTTTTCACATTGACATGAATGCCATTGCTACTCATGTGCAGTGTTGAGTGCTCGTTACAATCGCCCGACTCTTCCATATTGTGCCTCCCTCACCCTTTTAAAATTAGCCCCAGGTTTGTGATTCTGAGTGAGGTATGATCGCGTTGCACGTAAATACAAATCCTGTGACTTTTCTCTCGCTCTTCCTCTTCTGCTACCTGATCATCGGCGGCTGCCTGTGTCCAGATAAAAAAAAACACACCAACTGCGTGAGAAATCCTGCGCTGGAAGAGCAGGATTTATTTATCACGTGTCTGCCCTCAAGGCTCAAACCCAAGATCACAGAGGTGCTGGCTCTGTTTCCTGACGTTGCTGCATTAACCCGAGCAACACGATGACCCTCCTGTCGACATGAAAACAACACTGGTTTTAAAACGGAAATGCAAGAGTAAATTGACTAAATCGCACCGTTTGGAGATTTAATGATGATCAAAATTAAAATTAATGACACGTTCAGATGTCTCGCGTGTGAATGTTAACTTCACAAATTACAACCTGGTCTCATTATGGCAATTTGGTCGGCCTTTTTTTTTATCTTGTAACAAAAGCAACAAGACTGAGAATCACTCCTAATTTCTTAATGTGAAATTTTACTTTTTAAAAAAATAATGTGTCCGTATCCGATAATTGCTAGTCGTTAATATTTACATTTTGGGGAAAAGTTGACTTTTTAATGTAGAGTAAATTTTTTTTACGTAAAAATGTGGTTATGACTAATATATAACGATTTAATTTATAGTGGGAGTGCGGGATAGCTTTATGTATGACAAAAATTAAACAAATACGTTGTCAGTAGTTCAATTGCCACTTTTCATAGAGGGGATAAAAGCACCTTGCAACAATGCCGTTTGATCGTATGTATGTTTGTGATCAGTTTCAGCTTATTATGAAATCTGCAACCAGCATGCGTATTCCATGCTGTAACGAATAATGATCATTATTGGTTTAACATTTTTGGATGTAAATTGCTGCAATTAAATAAATGTACAACACTGAAAAACACATCAAAACTTAGTTTTTTTTGTTTCACATCGTCAGCACTAAAAACTACGCTCTCCATGATCATCCACTGCTTGGATGAGGTTTCTCCAATCCGTTGACACCACGGTGGCGAGATGTTAACTACCTCGCTTGGATAAACAGGAGGTCGTGGCTTTGATCCCGACCCCTACGCCTGAATATTTGGAGTTTGCGCGTTTCTCTTTCCCTGTGGTCACGGTTTTGGCTGCGATAAATTTGCACGTGATAAGCCACTTCGTTGAGCTGTCATTTGTGGCCAGGTCGTTTCTGGCAAAGAGCTATAACAGTGAGCTTAACCTGGTAAAAAGTAAAAAATAATTGATCTGTCCCGGTCCCTCAATGCCACGAGCTGCAGGGCTCCTGTGCGTGAGCGGATCGCATTGCTCCATCTCCCTGAAGGACGTATGCTCAGGTGTCTACCATTATTTGAATGCCACTCGTCGGTATTCGCTGCCACTGGGCCAACCATCCCTTCAGAATCAGAATATTTATATTGGAGGAATCCGAGGAGCTATAAAGCTCTTTTTCACAGATGTCCAGTATCGCAGATGTCCTTCTTGTGATGTGTCCTGCCCAAGCCAACTTTTCTTTACGGTCAATAATCCGAACCCAACACTGACAACTGCAGCCCGATTCACTGTCCGGTATATCGTGGAACAAGATGTAATTTTAGTCGGCATAAGTTCGTCATAAAATGATTGCCTCGAGTATTTTTTGACTTATGTTTATCCATATAATCTTGGCACAATTTACAATCGATGACTTGTCGATATCTGAAAATTATTCAGTGATGCATTAATTAACATAAAGTATTATATGTCAAACAAAACAATGTCAATTACAGTGTGTTGCAGTGGTGCAACACACCACGCACAAGGCAATCCGAGCCACCGTAACCCCAAACGACGAGGTTCCATCTCAAGTTGAAGCGAATGGTTTCGTGGGCATGTGTCCGCGCGCGTATTATTGAACTTGCAAATCACCGGTACCAGCGGTCTCAAGATCGGCCTCTGTGGAGGAGGCTCGTGAAGGACGCTGCTGCTGGGCAGTTGGTTGCAGTCAGTCGCCCTCCAGCAAACGACGGAAGGCGGAGGAGTGACGCTCACGACAACGAGTGGAGCGCCGGGGAGATCAAAAACACTGTGCTTGTAGTTGCTTAGCTCATGAGGATGTGTTTTTTTCCAAGTATACTTTGTGTTGATTCCCCCCCACTTAACAATGTTGTTCCCATTCAATTTATCTGAGCTGACAATGGGGCCTTAAATTGAGCAAATCATTTTAAGGCTTACCCGTTGATTCTGAACAAATGCCACGTTTACACAACGGAATTTGCAATTGAACCGCTTTGAAAAGGCGTAACTAACACTGTTCCATTGCACATACATGTTTGTTAAGTCGGTTTAAGCTCTATGCCACGTCCTACCTCAGCCATTATTTTTACAGCCCCTTTAACATTGTACAGCGCAATGCAGTAGCCGACAAATGAATGAAATCAAATTGAATTCTGTCTGTTGGAACTAACGCTGTTTACCCTTCCCTTGATTTCTCTCGTCTCTTCAAGTTGGTATCCAACACCGGCGTGGACAAAGCAAATTGCGTTGTCAGCCTAGCAACATTGTAATGGTAATGTTTTGAATGTTCACCCTGCTGTATAACAAAAAAAAAATATGCTCCGTGATTTAACGCTATGGGATTCAAAAGGTTAGGCTCATTTGTCAGTGGGGTTTTCAAATGATTCACTCTACTGTGCTAAATGTAAATCAATGCAGAAAGGAGTTTTTTTTCCCTCTTTAAGTTTGCAATAAATACGTTAATAAAATTGGCGACAGTGATAGTCGCGTGTGAAAACGGAAATTTCCAAGCAAATTAATGCTTTGAAACATGCTAAATATTTATTCATGGGATCGGTCAAAACATCCCAATACATAAGTATCCTCACGGCCAACGTGAGACTCGGCGAGGCTTTTCCTGTATAAACCGGCGTCAATGCTGTTGAGCAGAAACTCCAGATTGTGCTTTTCCTAAGATCTGAACAAACTTGTTTCTCTTGGACGTTGCTCGTACACTTGGTTCCCATAATTCGGGCTGCGTAATTCTCCCTTGGGAGACTCTTGGTCCAACGTTGGCAGAGCCGTGACGCATGCGTCTGTGCGAGGCCACGTATCGTCCAAATTATAGAATGGAAGTGTTCGCAAAAATGCGATTCATTGTCAGTTTAGTTTACAAACGCATAGCTGTAGTCTCTGGATTGGTAAAACGCTCTGGAAAATACGACGCACCCCAAACCTATGCCCGGTGTCACACACAACCCAATGGTTTATTATAAGACGCACCCACAGCTATTGCCTTAAAATACAGGGGATAGAAACGGTCATAACACAGAAAAAAACGGTAATTAGCCAATATTCCTGAAGGGGAATTTGTAATAATATTTGTTTTCTCTCTAAATTAGCTGTATGCCAAGAAAGTAGGACTAACTCCCAAATGTGTTGTTCAAAATATACAAATGTAGTTTGTTGCCATATATACACACACACGCATATTTACGTATATATTTTAATGTTTTGACGTACACAATACATTGTCTGTGGTATGTAATCATGGGCTCGGTTTTGGTATATGTTGACAATAATTAACCACCATCATTGATAACAATCATGACTTTTAAACCGAACAATATATGTTTCATATGAAACACAAGGCAGTTGCAACTAGGTGCGTGATTATAATGTCAGGGGTAAAGTGATTCCAGGCTGTGCTTTTGCACCATTACCAAAACAGTCCCAGAAATGTTATTTAAAGTCAATTGTATATTTTTTTCTCTCTCAAAGTAAGAGGTTTAAATTTCGATCTGGGAATAGCCGCAGTGGCAGGGCAGCGTGTTCTTCAATTGGTCATGCTCACGTTAAAATGCTGCAAGGGAAAACATATATAACATTTTATTGGCCAAGTAATGGAGAAATCTGGCATTTTAAAGACGCAGTTTTTTTTGTTAATTCAGAAACCACTTTGGAGAATATAACACCAAACGTCATCTTTTTATGTTATAGAGCAGTCCGTTTGCACATAAGAACAACTCCAGATGTAGTTCATGGCAACCTGCATAACAAACAGAAAACCCAACGGACAAAATAAAACTACTAAATCAAAATCATTAAACACGATCGTTGGGGATCAGATCAAGCAGTGGCGCAACACACAGCGCACAAGGCAATCGGAATCACCGTAACCTCAAACGATGAGGTTCCATCTCAAGCTGAAACGAATAATAGTGTGCGGATGTGTCAGCGCGTGTATGATTGGACTTGTCGATCACCGGTACCGGCGGTGTCAAGATCGTCCTCTCTAGAGGAGGCTCGTGAAGGACGCTGCTGCTGGGCAGTTGCAGTCAGTCACCCTCCAACAACAACGGAGGGCGGAGTAGCGACGCTCACAACAACGAGTGGAGCGCCGCGCGGATAAAACACAGCGAGTTGGCACAGTGGAGGACAAGGTGGCGAATCGGCGAGTCGTCTCGGTCAATCAACCTGCGGCACCTGGGTCTGTTCCGTGACCTGCCAACGAGCCTTCGACACCTAGCCTGGCACAAGCACCACATAGTGGCGAACGGCTGTTTTTATTGTTGTACCGCGGGTGTGCGAGGAGCGGTAGTCTTAGCGATTCGTGCGCTGCGCTATGAACCCGGCGTCCCGAGTTTGATACCCGCTCACGGCCAATACCGGTGAAGATTATCATCGAATAATTTTCCCGGGCCTCCCCATGGTTGACTCGGCCTCAATTAAGTACTTGATGCACATCGGGGGAGACAAAATGTGACCGGGCGTGGTGCTGTTCCGGCCTTCATAGGAGCTCGCGAACAGCACTCGCCCCAACAGTATGCCAAGGCTATACTGGGGGAGAAATCTTGTGCACGTAGGCTGCGGTGCACGTGGGCTACGGTGCACGTGTCATCGCCAGCGTTCGTGAGCAACCAGTTGCGAGAGAGCGAGAGGCCAGCGAGTTATATTGAAGAGCGCAGAGGGAATCTCTCTCCCCCCCCTGACGGCTACACACACACAAAAACACCCAGAGGATTTGGTTGGTGTTTGGTGGTGGTGGTGGTATAGAACGAGCCATATGCCGACCTCCCCCGTCTGTCTGTGAGTCCACGCGTCCTTTGTGCCTCTGAAGCCACGCTTACGCCCGCCCAGCTCGTCTCGGGAGAGAAGGCTTAGCGTTGTTGTCCGCACGCACAATGCAATCCGAGCTTATCGCTCGTAAAAGCTGTTACTGAGAATGTAACATATGTCCTGTACTCGTTTATATTTTTAATTTTAAGAAGAGAAAAAAAACCTGCCGAATCTACCCCCGTAGCCTCCCCCAGCAACTCCAGCCCGTGCCTTTTATGAATTTATTATCACCGATAGTGTACCCATCACACTTTATAATAAAACAAAATTAAGAGAGCTGTAAATACGAACGCAAGATTATCGCCCTTAATTACGCACCGCAGCAGCTGCAGGAGTTACGGGTTGTAATTTGTATTAAAATTGAATGGACACAATTTGTTCGTAACAACTACAACACATTTTTTTTTCTACATAGACAATATATTACCGCGAACGGATTGCGACGGACGTGCATGTATGGAGCGCAAGGAGTACTATCGTCGTCGTCACCACGGCAGGGGTGGGGGTCGGTGTGACCACTTTAATGAGGCGGCTACAACTCACGGCGGAGCATTTCAATAAAACATTTTGGTTTAACAAAATAGGGCGCGCAATTGCGACTCCCAGAGTAATCTTAATTGTTGTTCGCTCATGCTTGCCGGACGTTTATTGCGAGGTGTCGAGGCCCACTATGCGTTCGCTGGCTGTGGCAATTATTTTTGGTTGTGATCCTGTGATCTGGCCAAGTCGGAGCAAAGCCTCTCGCAGAGCTTACCCTCCCCCTGTGCTGCTCTGTCGCTAATTAACGCTGACTACCCACAATCCATC